TTAGTATCAAAAGTCTGATCTTTATCCATAAGCCTACGAACATCAATATATTTACATAACAAAATTCAATTCGCAAAATCTCAACGGATGATGATTTTTATCCTACCTTACCATAAGTACGGTGTTAAGTTATGGAACTCGTTACTATTTCATATCAAATTGATTGTTAGCCAGAGTATGTTTAAAGTATCGGTAAAGGCGTTTTATAATCTATAAATCAGATATGTATCTTGGCTTTATTTGTTATATTGTACGATATAGTTATGTTATCTATATCTTTTACTCTTTATCTTTACTGTTGTTCACGATAATGCCGGAAGAGACCCTATAGTCTTGTTGGCACATCACTTTATTAATTATAGTAATGATAATTATTGTATAAATGAAATGCCATTAACAATTATTATTATTAATTAATAACTGAACCTAAAAAATTTTCTCCGTTAAGAGAATAATAGCCTAAGCCACCATTTCAAATGTAAGCAAAATGATAAGCGCGTGTACAGTGCCTCTTACGGAAAAAATTTAAGATTAATAACGAACAGACATCCAAATATGATGAAAAGTGAAGAAGAAAATCAATGTCAATGATATTCAATCAATGGGATGATTTATTGGACAATCTTACGAATGGGAAATCTCGGGTCGATTTGCTGTCGAAATTCTCGTCCGTATCAAATTTGCATTCAAAAACATTATGGCTACTAGCGTAAAGATGGGATGGCCTATATATATATTTTTTTTAATATGACCAATCACTCAGGGATTGTCCACTATTCGTATGACACAATGATAGTAAGGAAAAAGTAAAGAGAATAGAAAGCAAGGAGTGAAGATGGTGGCCTCAGGTCCAAGTAGGTCGATCGAGTAAGTGCCCTTGGCGACTGAGCATTCACCATAGCTACTCATGCGGATTGAGATGAGCAAAACACAATTGAGTGGAGAAACTTTTATTAATTTTTGAGTGAAAAAAAACAAAAATCAAGAAAATAAAATAGTTTGATTTCTTCACACTGACCTCTCCTCATTGATATATAACTATGTTTTTTATTTGACATAGTCCGGAGCGTAACTTCTTTTAGCGATTACATTAAACTTGTTAATCAGATGAATGATCAGCATATTGTTGTTTCACATTTCATCAAATATCTTACAACGCTAGCATCTGACGATGCAATTAATTAAAAATGATGCAGAATTAACATGAAAAAGTGTTCGAATTTCAAATCAAAATTTACTTCGTACGTAACTACGCTCTAGGGTTCTTTAAGATCGTACCATCGGAAAAAAAAAAGAAAAGAGAAAACACCGAATGAATACTAAACACCTTGTGGTCATTTACTTCACTGGTGTCAATTAAGCAATGTTTTGAAATACAATAATATAAAAGAGGCTAATACCTACCTATTCATGTACTACCGATGAACGTACAAAGTATATCAAAATTAGCATTAACAATAAACACAACAATAACAGCAACAACAGTAACAACAATCGCAATTCACGTCTGTAATGTGTTTATAAGTTTATATTTTACTTTTTTGAATTAACATCAATAATACTCGACTTCCTACACCACCTTCGCATAACCCGAAAAAAAGATTACAAAAGTACATTCTGTCGTAAAAAAAAAGAAAGAAGAAGAAAAAAAAAAAAAAAAAAATACCCAAAAACAAACAATAACATTTATCTAGTGTCACAACATTATATGGGAGATACAACAAATACATGTGCATGCAAACCGTATAACAGGCATTCAAATAAGAAGAACACTATGTAGATAAACACTTCCAGTCTCTCAGTAAAATTACATTGAGGCATATATATAATGATTTAAATTTTCATTTCATTTTGTTTAGAAAAGTATGAACAAAATTGCAGCCAAAGTATCTAAATTGTGTGCACACACTTAAATTCAATTACATATATATATATATATATATATATAGCTAAACACTTGAGCAGTCGCTGCTGCCGCCGTTTAAATACAAACATTTAACTTTAGCTTGACGGCGAACTGGTAAGCGAGTGAGCGAGTTAGCGAGCAAGCGAACAGGCAAACAATCAAACAAGCGAATAACATGCAATAATGCAACCAACAAAGCATAAATTGTAAACGACTTAGTGTAGTATGCCGACGAGCCTTGACCTGATTTCTCTTCCTCTCTCGCGGCCGTTCGCTGATTATAGGGGATTCGGTAGTGAAGTGACAGGGAGGCTCGTCACTTGCGCGCGCGGAGAAGCCAATATGCAAAAAAAAAAAAAAAAAAAAAAAAAAAAAAAAAATACAACAACAATAACGGCAAAAAAGCGCAACTTACACACGTTTGCCAACGAACTTGTTGTTCATTCGTTTGCACTATCGCTGCAATCAAGCATCCGCTCTGTGTTGTGTTTCTCTTCGCATGTATATGCATGTTTCTACTTTTATGCACAATTTGCAAAACAAATTTAGATAGCTTTGCCGAGCAGGGTTGGGGGGGCCATGTATTTGTAGGGGATACAGTCTGTGTCTGTGTCAATTGCAGTGGCTGACTAAATGACTTGAAAACTTTTCGCACAATAGAGATTACAAGTTTCGCATAAGAGAAATAAAGTAAAAAAAAAGATACAAAGATACAAAGAAACAAAAACGATAAGAAGAAAACTTACACATCAACACATAGCAATTATATGCAGCATACATTCATACATATATAATATAAGTGTAGGCAAGAAATGGTCTACCAAACTCCTTGACTTGTATATCTAAAAAAAAAAATAAATAAATAAATGAAAAAAAGTGGCGCTTACTACTACTGCACATTATGTATAATATATACCTAAACGAAATACAATGTATTTCGTATAAATTTTTTTGCGATGGTGAACTGTTTGGCTTATTGTGGCTGCTTTGTTAAGTTGCTTAGCTAGTTGGTTCGTTGGTTGGTTTATTGGTTGATTGCTCGGTTAGATGTTTATATTCATCTGCCAAAGAAATCAGTGAAAATGCACTTTTACTTTTACAAAACTTTTCCCTCGCAGCGCTTGACTGCATCATTATCAGCGTCGTCGCCATGACTTGGATTGCTTAGTGAAAAACAAAGGCAGTAACGCGAATAAAAATGGCAACAACCGCAATAATAGCAGCAACAGCAGCAGCAGCAGCAGCAGCAGCAGCAACAGCAAGAAGATTTCAAATAGAAACTCACGATAGAAATGAAATCGAAATTGAACAAAGTTATGTTGTTTTTGCTTTGTTAAATATAGCTCGTTTTTCCTATTATAATATACCTAAATAGTTGTTGTTAAAAAAAAAAAAAAAAAAAAAAAAAAAAAAAAAAAAATAAAA